TAGCAATGTGTGATGTTGTTCTAGGTTCAGTTGTGAAATTAGATGCTGCACAGGCTTATCGCAATGATGAATTGATTCCCAATATTCAAATCTTTCGTCTAGTGTTTTGGAGTTTTGGTCCATGCTTTAGAGCATTTTGCCATTGCAAGCCAATTGTGCAAGTTGATGGGACACATTTATATGATAAATATAAAGGGGTTTTACTAGTTGTTGTTGCACAAGATGGAAATCAAAATATACTGCCAATTACATTTGCTGTTGTTGAGGGTGAGATAATAGATGCTTGGAGTTTTTTTCTTGAAAATTTACGAAAATATGTTGTAACTAAAGATGGTGTTGGCCTGATTTCTAATCGTCACGAGTCAATTATAGGAGCAATAAGAAGAAGTAATGGCCGGTGGGAACCTCCAAGAGCATTCCACATGTATTGTATCAGGCACATAACTGCAAATTTCTTACGAAGATTCAAGACTCTCAACTTGCATAAACTTGTTGTTCGTATGGGTAATAAACCCGAGTTTCATATTTAAAATAATGTTATTAATATACTCTTACATGACATTGTTTAAGCTGATGCAAGAAATAATTTGTTATTTACAAGTTACTCAAGAACGGAGCATGAATTTAATATTCATTGTGAGCAAATACAGGAGCATGGATAGATTTATACAATTAGTTAAACTGTTTACTTCATAAACACCCATTTGATCCAATGCTAATCTAATATTTTGAAGATTCTTAAACGGTGTATTCGTGGATAGCGCATACATCTACATCTCAGAGCAAGTGGAAATACTGGTGGTGAACCCGATATTGGAGCTAGCCATGGGAAGCCATGGGAGGCGATGCCATGCCTACACCTGAAGTAGTATTAAGCACCCACATATTTCTTTGGTATCATATCTAGAAGCACGATCCAACCCTCTATATAGAGAGGCCAAGCATGCTGATCCCCAACTATAATTCCTAATTTGATTCACATCGGTCAACAACAGCAATAATTTTGAATGCACCACTGCATTACTTTTATTCGACATCAAAACATGTTCAAGCAAACAAAGAATATACCTACGTGCATATTGTTGTAACCTAACGCCCGAATTATAAGGAAGTCAACCTAGGTGTTGTGATAACCACGATAATCTAATTTCTGATCCTTCAATGTCGTTTGAATTTGGTCAGCTCCCTATTAAATTATCCCACATTTCCTGTGCTACAACAGTAAAAAGATTTGTAAAATCAATTACTGTTACACCATTGATCTTAATTCCAAGTAACATATAAACATCTTGCAATGTAATTGTGCATTCTCCACAAATTAAGTGAAATGTGTGTGTTTCAGGCCTGCATCGTTCCACAAGTGCATTAATAAATGAACGATTTATTTACATTTGACAAAGTTGAGAAATTCGATCAAAACCAGCATGCCATAAAATTTTCATAATTACTATCTTAGGAGGCATTATTGATAACTGACGAGACCGTAACAATCTCATTACTTATTACAATAATACAAAAAATCTTGGTTAACCATAAACCTACCTAATTACTATTCAATATGTTAATTATATAAAATGCAATAAATAATTTCTTGGGAACTTAATTTTATTAATTATTCAAGTTACAATTTTGCAAAACTCTATCCACTAATTAGAGAAAATAATTTTATTTTCAATCAAAAAGTTCAACAATGTTGTTATAATTTATTTTAAATTAATTCTCTTTTTTTTTGTTATAATAAATTTTGCATGCAAGTTAGTAATTACTAAATGATTCATTTACAAATTACAATTGATATACAAAATATTCAATTACTGATTTATAATAGTTTTTACAAATATTACAAAATATACATTCAAAATATCGAAAAAATAATAAATAAAATAAAAAATTACATAATTTCTACAAAATATACATATTAAATAAATAAAATAAAATAATAAAAACTTTCATTTTGATTTCAAATTTTTTTTGAAATATGCTTCCTTGAATCAATAGTTGAGTCCTTAACCATTTTTTCCCCCAAATTCTAACTTATGAATATCAATTTTTTTTGTCAATTTTTTGAAAATTTTCTTTTTTTAAAAAAAATGCTCTCGCTCTCTCACCCTACTTCTTCTTCCTCTCTAGAATGCTTCTTCTTCACTTCAAAAATACCCTCTCGCGCATGCAACAAGAATTGGACCTGATATATATAGGCAAAAAAATGCATAGGAATTTTGGAGTTTTCCTCGCAATAGTTATTTTGCATGCTTGAACAGTGTTCAAAACTCGCAAATTGTGAGCTTACAGGTTCCAGCTCTTGCCACTTCCTGTATGCATGACATGCATGCCAAAAGGTCAAAACTCGCAAGTTGCGAGAGTGCCTTAATTTAGAGCTCCAGACGACGCAACATCACCTGCAGCGGCCAGACAACGTGATAAAAAGTTGCTATATGCGATTTTCTAGTGAATTTTGACCCAATTTCATGTGCTACAGTGCTAAAAAACCACAAATGGTGTTTTTATAATAGTACCTGCCACTTTCTTTACCATTTTGACCCGTTGCCATTTTACTATTCATGTTAAATCGTTATTTGCATTTTTTGGAAAATTATATTGTTGTAAATATATTAAATAAGCCATATTTCTATATTTTATCTTACTTAATCCCATATTAAATAAATTTTCCCTAAAAAATTTCATATTATATGTTTAAAATAAATTTATCAACACATTATGTAGACTACATTACTTTCTGATTATTAGACTATAATACTAAGTTCAGTTTTAGTACATATAATAACTAATGAGGATAACTTAATATTTGATTTAAAATCTATCTTTATATTTATATTTAGTTTGTCATTTAAAAAATAATCTAATTCAAGAGTTATTTTTATCTTTATTACATCACACGATATCTTCTAGATTGGACTTTTAATTTGAAATTTAGTTTCATTTAAATTTTGACAACACTAAATCAAATTAAAAATATTTTTTAGAGTAAAATTAATTTAAAACTATTATTATATTAATTCTTGTCACACCATATTAAAAATATGACTTTTTGATTTTAATCTTAGCTTAAAATTTAAAATATATATTTTAATTTTAAAAATTCCAGCTCTTTAATTTTTCCTATTTAATATAATAGAATATTCATATCAATGATAACAAAATATAATAATGTTATAATATTATTTTATTAAAATTTAATCTTTCGTATAAAAATAAATGTAATCTTTAAATAATAGTTTAAATGCATAAAAATTATATAAAATAAAAAAAATTGTGCACTACACAAATTAATAATTAATTAAATTTAAAAATCAAATGTTCACAACTAAAATTAACATTTTATCACCATAGAATACACAAATTTAACTAATAAAGGTTGCTTTAACTTAATTTAAAGTCTCAAATTCGAATCCAAAAACTACAATAATAACAAATACCTTTGACTGTCAACCATTTCATTAATTATATCATTTTATAAATTATGACTAATAATTAAAGCTGATAAAATAAGCTATTTAGACTAATTCTTTCTTATTAACAAAAGTTTGACTTAAAGCTCACAAAATAAATTTTAAATCTGGCAAAAGTTTATTTTTTATTTTTTATTTTACTTTAGTTACGTTTTTATAAGTTAATATATATGAAGTTTAATTGAATTAATTTTAGACCAATTTACGTTACACAAAAAGATTTACGTTCAATTTAGACTTACAAAATAAATTTTAAAACTGATAAAATACTATTTTCTTTAATGTTGTATTTTTATGAGTTTAAGTTTCATGTAAACTTAGTTAGATCGAGGTAAAATATTTTAATTTTAATTCAAATTCAATTAGACAAATTATTTGTCAACTCTATATTAAGGATAACTGAACTAGCACGAGAGCCATGCTTTTGTTTTTTTTCAGAAATTGGAATTTTAAATAATTTGTATTAAATCATTTTGTAATTATAAAATGTAAAATATTATTCAAACTAAATTCCTACTAATACCTAATATATATTCATTTATTATTAATTTAAGAATAAAGGATATTATTAGCAGTACCTTTTATATATGAAGGTCCCATAGCAAGCATAGTAAAAAAAAAAAAATCTAATTCTTTTTATGGGGACCCACGGTGGCAACCTAGCTATGCGTTGCTTCATCAAACGCTGTGCGGCAACGCCTTCCCTATCTCCCTTTTTGAAAATCCCCTTCAAACACTTGACACACACATAAAAGTATACACTATTTGTATTTTCAATGGCGCCAACAAATAAGAACTAAAAATAGCAAAATTTACCTTTTGGTAATTACATAAAATTTTATAATAGTACTACTATTAATAATAATTTGGCTAATTTTTTAATTTAATTTTAAAACATAATTTTTTTTAACTCTTATAAAGTGCACGACTTATAATTGAAAAAATATACTTATGTTTATAATTTTATTTTATCATTTAAATAAAATAAAATTTTAATAACGGTTTTGGATATTAATTTAAACATATTATTTTTTAAAATTTATTTCTTATAAGTAACACTAATAAAATTGCTGATGATATTGTAATAACTCGAAGTGAATAAATTAATACAAGTTATATTTCACATTTTAAACTGTTTTTTGATGAATAAATTGTAAAAAAAATAAAATACAAAAGTTGACGTAATTAAAAATATTTTCTAAAAATATTTTAAAAAATTTTCATTAAAAATATTAAATTCATTTGTAGTACATATCTTCTTTTTTTTTTATCCTAAGCACAATTTTACATTTATGTAATGAATAATGATTAATACCGATTTTCACTAATATCTTACAATAATGGGAAATCTTAGGGCACTGCACTGCATTAAGTCTAGTTTAGAAAGAATTTTAAAATTTAAATTATTACCGGCATTGGCGCGTGTGACCCACAGAGAGTCCACCGCGTGAGTAATGCGGCACCGTTCATCCCTCCCTCTGTCTCTACAAATACACCCCTTCTCTCTTCACACTCGCAAACTGTCACACACACATACTCGCTTTTTCCGTCTTCAATATTTCGCATTTCGGCAATGATGGGACCCTTCAACCTCTGCATACACACGCCATATCCTCCCCACCATTAAAACCGCTTCACACTCTCGTTTCCTTTCCCAAACCAACAAAATATCTCTCTTTCATTTTTTTTTTCCTCTCTTCCATGGCCGAGAACTTGGACGACGGCGAGTTCTGGCTGCCGTCGCAGTTTCTTGCTGACGACGACGCCACCCTGGCACCCTTTGACGCAAAGTGTCAGGCTTTGAACCCAAAGAATGGCGACGACGCCGTTTTGTTCCCTTCCGAGTTCCCATATGGCTTTTTCCCTTCTTCTGAAATCCCTTCTCCCGTTGATTCCCTCGTTGGTGGCTCCAGTGAGACCGAGAGCGACGACGATGACCAACTCGTAGCTGAGTTGACTCGCCGAATGGCTCGTTCGTCTCTTCAAGTTCATGTCAAGTCCCCTGACAACGCTCTGGTATGCTATTTTGTTCTCTTCTTTGCTTTTGGCGGGTTTCTTCTGTTTTTGCTTATTTGTAAGTGGGAGTTTTTATTTGATTTTGTGTGTGTGATGGTTTTTGATGTTTTTGGATTTTCTTGTGGTTGGATTTTTATTACAGGGTCGGTTTGTGTCTGGTTCTCCACAATCCACACTTTGCAGTATTGGAAGTGGTTGTGGGTGTGGGAAAGGGTCGAGCCAGGGAAGCCCCAACGGTGTTTGCAATTTTTCTTCTGCGAGGGCTACTTGGGATCTGCTGCATGCGGCTGCAGGGGAAGTGGAGAGGATGCGGTTGAGCCAAGAAGGTTATGTTTTCAACCATCACAATCACAATGGAGGACTCTTTGTTCCTCAAAGGAAACCCTCTCCTGTCACTCCTCTACCCTCTAAGAGCTCCGATGTGGGACTCTTCACCCAACACTCACTTTCTCACCACCAATTGCAGATAGCACAGGTAACAAGCTCCATCACATCGCTTTTAGTTTCATGTCTACAAGTTATCCTTTTAGTGTAAAGGCCATTTCACTAACAGTTTTGTTGTGTTTTGGTGATTTTGATAGTTTCAGATGCTGAGGCAGCAACAAATGACAAAGCAACAGAATTCAGTGTGGAATGTGCAGAGGCAAAGCCCCCAAATGGCCCTCAATAGGGGGAGAAATAGTGATGCTAATTGTGTTGTTGGAAGAAGCGTTAGGCCTTTGGGTTTGTCTGCATCTGCATGGCCTACACTGCAACATGCCAAGCAGCAACAGCAGCAGAATCAGCTGTATGGGTCTAGCATGAGGGCTGTTTTCCTCAACAATCCTTCTGGCAGAAGAGAGTGTTCTGGCACTGGGGTGTTCTTGCCCCGTAGAGTTGATAGTCCTCCTGAACCACGAAAGAAGCCAGGTAAGAAAACACGAAATCCATAATCCTTGTACACGTTTTCATGGATTTGATGCATTTATGATTTCAAGGTGGTCGTTGACATCATTATTAGGGGCAGTTTAAGAGGTTTCTCAGTCGTTGGAGCTAGTAATAAATGTTGGCTGCTATATTTTGTTTAAACTGCTATTTAATTGCGTGTTTTGGGGGTGGGGTTATAATTTTTATTCAAGGTTAATTATTTTGTTATGCCAAGGTGTTAATATTAGTGTATTTTCACCTAAACAATAGTTAATGTTTGTGGTTGTCATAATCTGGTGTTTGCAGCGTGTTCCACCGTGCTGGTTCCAACTAGAGTGGCGCAGGCCCTAAATCTAAATCTCGATGACATGATGGGGGGCCAGCCGCAACACTTGCATCGTTACAATGCCAGTTCGAACATGGAAAATGGTAATTATTTATTTGAGGGTGGTGGATATGATATGTCCCTAATGCCCCTTTGAAATTATTATTTCTTTTTAATTTAGTCTGAAATCGTTTATTGAGCTGTGAAATTTGACTTTTTGCATATGGCAGTTGGAGTTCCCAGACTAAGGAGCAATTATGTCCTTTCTCAACAGAAGCGTAACCTCAACAAGGCTCAGCCAGCAATGAACCATGAGATAAGGCTGCCACAGGAGTGGACATACTGATATCGCTTCATCTTTTTGCTTTGCTAGGGTGGGGAAGGGAATAGATTGTTATTTTTTTAATGGTTTTTTGGGGAGGGTATTTTTGGAAAAGGGGTAGGAGTTTGGAGGGGTAGAAATAGAAATGCAAGTAGAATAGGTTTATAGAAGGAGAAATAGGTTTTTGTTGTTGGCAATTGGGAGAAAAATTATGTTTTTTTCTTTTGGGTTTTGGGTTTGGTCACAGTGATAGAGGTTAAAAATAATATTAGGAGCCTCTGGAAAAAGCTTGCTCTGCAGGAGCAGAGCTGAATTTGCAGTGCTATCAGTTACTTTTGTTCTTTTTAATGGGCTTCGAAAGCCACAAGGAAAGACAAAAACGGTGGATGGGTCAAATTTTTACTCTTTTTTTATTAGGGTAATAAGAAATGAAGTTTGGGAAGGCAATGTAGCAATTTCCGGAAGGGGCTGGATCGTATTTGCAGAGGGATTACAGCTCCTTCCAATTGTTGAATCAGAGTGGAATCATTTTGGGGAATACTTGTCAGTAAAATCTGATTCGAACCTGTCCACCCTCATTACTATAAATAATAATGAAGGAATTTTCATTACCTCGTCTTGATTTGTTGATAATGATGTGTACCTCGATTTGCTGCTTAATTTTTACCTCTTCCAATTATAAGTTTTTATTTTTGGTAAGGAATTCTGAATCAAGCACTTATTGCTGGCAAGGTCAAAAAATAATGAGTTATTGACAACTGTGTTGATGAAATTAATTATAACTTGTAAAATGGGTTCGTCGTAAGGTGTATCTTACTGAAGACACGCTTGCATTTTCAATACAATTAAAAGTAGCTTTTGCGTTCCCCTAGGAGTGGTTGCCGCTGGAGGTGGAGGATATATCTATTCCTAACAAGTACAGTTATATTATATATTTGCCAATTTACATCAATTTTCAACATTCTTTTTATACCACTAATTACTCTATTATGTCTTTATTTAGAAATAGAATGAAAATAAAGGTCCGTTAATTGGAAGTTTAGTCAAGATATTTACAAATAATTCGTTGAAAATGTTAATTTTAGTCTTTAAAGTAAAAATTAAGAAATAAATATTAATAAATTTTATTATAAATATGTTAATTTGTAAATTTTTCAAAGTTAGTCATAGGTGGTTTACAAAATTCGCAGTCTGCTACTTAACATGTATTAAACAATTATGAGATTTTTTATCTAGTGTCGTATTTACCCTTTAATAAAATTGCCGAACGAATTGGGGCTCTAATGAATAGATTATTTTGTTGTCCCTTATGTTAGTATAAATTTAAAAATGAATTAACATGCGATACAGAAAATTGATTTGTGATAATCTTAATTATGTTATCATTAGAAAAAGTGTTGAATTTGTAAAAATAATATTTTAAAAAAATGAAAAATATCACTGAGATGAAAAACGTATTTGAGTTAAAAAAAAAATTCAGAAAAAAAGTAGTGGAAGAAAGCAATTTAGAAGGTGGGGATGGGTGGAAGATGAGAGTTAAATATGGTTTGGATTATGTAGGCATTGCTTGGGAGGGAAGCTTCGGTGCAAGCGCGGGTTGGAGTGGGGCATAAGGACGCTTTAATACGTGTAAGGTTTGTGGGGTTTTGCTTTAGAAACGCATAAAAATGGATCTTGGAACTCACAAATGGCTGGTTTTGAAGACTTTTGAGGAAACGTAGCTATCTATAAGGGTGAATGGGGCATTGTTCTCTCTTCTTTCCCATAGAAATGCATGGCCAACCCAACTATATACATTGGTTAGAAAAGGGAAGATGGTGGTTATTGCATTTGCGTTTGCATTTGCATTTGAAAGACACATACTTAGCATTAACACCACACCAATCCATACCTTCCTTTATTCCTTTTCCCCTTTTTCTTTTTTATTTCATCCTTTTCCCTCTTTTGGTGCTCTGCATCTACGCTCCCTAGGCTTCGTTGGAATGCTCAGTTGTATCTTTATGATTTGCAAAATCTTCCCCTCACAAAAAGTCTGCATTTCACGCTTCAACTTCCCTCTTCATTTTCGTTTTTCACCAGAGCAAATATTAAATTAAATAAGGTATAAAAATAGATATTAAATTAATGTATTTGTTTTTATGGATAAAAATAGATATTAAATTAATATAAATTAAAATAAATAAGGTATAAAAAATTTATTAATTAATGTATTTAATTTTTTTTATTTCCTATATGTACAAAAAAATTATTTTTTCTAAATAAAAAAGTGTAAGTTAATCTTTCTATTTTTTAACAATAAACTTGAATATAAAAAAGCAATTGTCTTTTTCATCATAATGCAGAGATTTATACATGACGGTGAGTTTTACACTATTTTTAAAATTATACAAATTGTTGAATTGGTGAAGGAATTGATTTATAATCATTACCATTTTAAGGTAGAATTAAGTTAATACTAATTAAATGTAATTTTAATATTAAATAATATATTTGACGACAAGTTAATAAATTATAACGAAATAAAATTTAATTAAAATTAATTTATAAATAATATTACATTTTTTATACAATAAAAATTGTAATAAATTGCTAAATATCAATGATATATAAATAAATTTTATAAATGAATATTTATTTATTTTAAAAATATTTTATAATTAAAATATTAAAAAATAATTATTAATTCATTTTTAATGGATCTTTTCAAATTAATTTTTGGGGGTTATTCTTGCCCAATTTTTCTTTGTACGGCTGGTCTGTGACTAATTTGAATAGTATTTGAGTGATTTTTAATGTCTCAATTTCATGAATGTTTATTGTTACATTTTTAAAATAAATTTTATATAGTTTATTTTATTGTTTAATTAAAATAATAGAAATAATAAAAAAATAATTTTAAATAAGTTCTGGTAGAAAAACATTTTGAAGCGGTGATAATCAATTTCCTCGTCAAATCAACCGACTCAATTTTTGAAACTGTGATTTCACTGTTAATATTTAGTTCAAATTAGATTATTTGAATACTTAATATCATATTTGAATATCTTTCTTAAAAAGGCATCATGTCGATAATTTTTTAACTCCTTCGAAAGCATTAGTTGGCAGTGAAATATTTATGAATACTGTTAAAATAATATTTTATTAATTAAATTAAATTTAAACGCTTTGACGCTTTCAGAATTTTTATCCGGCTTGAACATTTATTGTTTAGATAAAAAGAAATTATATTATAATTTTATTGTAAAATTAATTTTTTTATACGAGTCAAATATAAGTATTTACCGTAACAGAATGTTGAATTATTAGGTTAAGTTATATATATAATTGTTTATATTTTTTTTTATCTCCAATCTTGACCCTGAACTTCTATTTAAATATTGGAAGCAATTGTTTTTCTTCTTGGTGTTTTAGTACCATAAGTACCAAGGTCTCTCTACCTTGATAGCCAATTAATCAAAAGAGACTTATTCTTTGTTGAAATAAAATAAAATCAAGACAAGAAAACAATTAATTTTTTCTATTCTCACTTGAATATCACCATCATTACATAAGAAATGTTGTAGAAAATATTATTTTGGCTACATAACAACTCAACGTTCTATCACTATTCAGTGGTAATAGATAATTAAACTAATAGAGTAAGATGATTTTCATGGACCATAAATTTTAAAATATAAGAGACAAAAAATGCCTAAATCATATAATTTTGAGGACCAATACGAAAGTTTAGTTTTATAATTTATCATTAATAAAATATTAGTAAATGATTAAAAGGACTAAACTAATAGATAAATGTAATTCTCATAGACGGTAAATTTTAAAATACGAAAGACTAAAATGTCTAACTTATATAATTTTGAGGACTAATATGAGACTTTAGTTTTATTATTTATCATTAATAAAATAATATTTTTAAATTTAAATTTATAAATGCTTCTGCAGTGTTTTCTTGTTTCAACTTTATTTTTGTGAATTGTGATGGTTTAATCTCGTTTTCAGAATCTGAAAATTTCTAGAGTCATTGCTTTTATTAGTTATTGAATGATATCTCCTAGATGAGCAAAGCTTTGCAAATGATATAAACCAAAAAAGGTGTAGATTGCAGAGGAACATCCTAATTACAAGCAACCAAAAGTAAATGGTTAAGGCTATTTTAAAAAAATGTAAAAACCAATTTTCACATTGGGAGGAGAGATTCTCGCATTACGATTAAAATTCAACGGTATATTAAGCTAAAAAGTGCTAATTTAAACAGATGCATATTAGTATCTAATCTAGTCAATGCGTTATGTAGGTTATGTTTTTGTGATTATTTTTTCTGCAAAATGTTACCTAACTTATTTATAAATAATAATTTGAAGGATTTGGAATATGCTTAAACGTAATATAAATTAAATGATCTATAGTTTGGTTGTCGAGCTGGATTCAATGGATATTTTGTATTGTGGGATGCACGTAGAGGTATCTATTAATTGTCCATCATATAATTGCATATGCTTTCCCAATATAAATGGTACCAAAGAACATACGGTAAAGTTTTGCCTAAGACATGAAGATATGTAATGTATATAAAGTTGCAAAATCACTTGAAAGAAATGATAATGTGTTACATTGACAGGTTAAGGTTTGAGTGAATCAGGTAATGAGAAGAATGTTACTATTCTTTCGGAACTTCAAATCGGAACCTGGATATATTTTTCTTCCTTTTTACGAGTCATTAGGGTGTCATTTAATTGTGGTAATTTGGTTAATTGAGGAATACAGAGATTCAAATATTTGAGTAGTCATTACAATAAAAATAAAAATAAAAATAATGGTGGAATGATTTTGGCAGTATAAATCACATCATGTTTCATGATTTAATAATGTCACGGGAGAGAAACAATTGGCAAAAGTTTATCGCATAATCTGAATCATTAGATTTATTTTATGATTTGCGCAATATAACATTATCCTTAAAAAAACAAATACAAATTCCCTTCAAGTCGTCTCTGCACAAGAACTAATATTCTATACAATGTACTAAACATTTCTCAAAAAGTAGAATAGCATATACCCACAATTTCATGAAGTTCCATACACTAATTTGAAAAAAAATACAAAAAGAAGCAAGAAGTACCATATAAAGGTGACAATGGTGAAGCTTTAGCATCTCCTACTTGAAAATTTATTTTTGTTTTCTGGGAATATATGAAGGGTGGAAGTCAAATTTAGATGCAGCAATAAACCCAGTTGCAGTCATGTACACATGGTTTATAGGAAAAGCCAAAAGAAATGGCACAGAGGACACAACACACTCAGATTACACTTTGTATGGCATCAACGGTTGAAACGAGTCTGATTCTTTGGGATCATTCTGTTTTAAGAAACAGTGCTCTTAACAGTAGAAATCTGCTGCAAGTGCAGGATCTCTATGTTATTAGCCTGCCCTTGACCTTATGAAAGAAAGTAGGCATAGGATTCCCATTCTAGAGGTGCACCCTCATTCCCTAGGGATGCTGCAATTTACAGCCTAGTAGTGGGGTACGTTGCATCATACCAATTCTTTTGCCTTTATTTGGTAACACAGTCACACTCGCTGTTCAGTTTACTTTACCCACATCTTTG